CTCCCCCCCACCAAAACAACACATTGAAGTGACCCCCCGGCCCCAGGGAATTTAGAATTACACTATGTTATTCTGTTCATCTGATTGCGTCTGGACTCTTTAACTTGGGGACTCGAACTTGGGTCTGTATTTCAGCAGTTCGTGGGTGTACCAACTGGGCCGGGCTAGCCCCATTGGTGATAAACTATCTTTGCAACACGGATAAGATACCTTTGGTCCAATATATACATATTATATATAACATATTATATATACATATTATATATTATATCTAACATATTATATATACATATTATATATACATATTATATATAACATATTATATATACATATTATATATATAGGAAGTCGTTGATGCTTAACCACAACAACCGGTGTTCAGGTGGATTATCACTTACTTAGTGGGATCAGTTTAGGTAGGGGATTCTGCAGACTGTTGAGGCTTCAGCCTCTACTGATTGATGAGTCAGTCGGTGAAACTCCGACGAAACACTTTGTCACAGCGCACCCTCCTCAGTTTGTTGTCCTCTTGTCCCTCCCTTCCCTCACTCTCTGCTTACGGTTTACCGTGCAGCTCTGTTTGACTATATCTGTATATATATGTATCTATATACATCTATCTCGCCGCTCATTAGATATCTTTGCGCCCCAAAATAAAGAGAGATCTTTGCGTGGAGATGATAACTTTGCTGCGCGCCATCTCCCTCCGAAGGTCAGGGCACGTAAGTCATTACCAGACAGATGTCGTGTCTCGTGCGGCAATCTCTAGGGTCGAGCAGGCAGAGAGAGGCCTCCGTCGGCGATCTCCGGGGTGAAATGAAATGAATAGAAAGGTATTTAATCTGGGCAAAATAAAAATCACTCGCATCTAGGCCAGAAGGTCATTTTTTTTTGGCACAGATATCGACGTCCCAGGGCGTGCCACGTGTTCGAAAGGATGCCGCGTGTTTAAATGACACATGGCACGCTAGCGAGATGACACGTGGCATTTACACAGATCCCGCCGTTCGAAGGGGTGCCACGTGTTCGAAAGGATGCCGCGTGTTCGAATGACACGTGGCATGCACTAGCACGTCGTGATCTGCTGCGCAAATGCCACGCGTCATCTCATTAGGCGTGCCATGTGTTCGAAAAGCATGCCACGTGTCTTCTTTCTCGAATACCTGAACGGCTTTCGGAACGGGAATTTTGCGAAATGCGCAGCCCCCTGCTCCTCTGCAGCGTTCATGAATAAGATGATCTGCTGATCTATTAGTGTGCTGATTAATCTGTTGATTACTTAATCTGCTAATTAAAAATTTAATTTGTTGAGTAGTTAGTCTGCCGATTAATCTGCTGATTAATCTGCTGATTGATATGCTGATGATGTTCTTCTTTCTATGAGAGCTGATACGGATGCGGATCCCTTCGACCCGACTACTGTCTCGGCGATCGTCCTCTCTGCGTGTCTTCTTTCCCCTGCTCTCCTCTTCTGCCCCTCCTCCCCCACCTTCCCCCCCCTTC